CGGCAATGGCCGTGCAGAGATCACTTGCTACAGGGCCAAACTTGTTAGTGCTGAGGATGACTCTCCAACCGTTTGCATCCAGACCTGAAAGGCCTGCACCACTCTGAGTCTTCGGAGCCTTTTTCCACACCGTCCCTCCTGCTATTTTCTCAAACAGGACAGCATTTGGTGGGATATAGGCACCCTGGAACCTGGTGCCTTCATCTTCACTTGCAGGGGGATGTTTTTCTTTCAGTTGTTTTAATGTCTCGCTGTTTATTGGCAGAACCCCATCAGCGGATTCCTCTGTGAGAGATCTTACCACCAAAGACACTTTTCCCACACTCATTTTGTTTCCAAACTTTCTTGCAACGTCATCGGTGTTTTGCTTTCTGTCTCCTGTAGATTTTAGTCTCTCCTGCAGTGTTCTTGCTTCACATAGGAGATCATCAAGGGCCCCATTCTGCCACACTGTCAATCTTCTCTTCATTGCTGCCACATTTTCTTTGTACTACTACTACCACTACTTTTTAAACGTGGCCTCCAGCCTCCCCCAATAGCCACACCTTTGCCACCATTTATTTACCTTAATATTAAATATCCTAATACATAAGAAGCTATCCTATCTGTGTTAAATTAGTTGAGCCGCAGATCTATGCGGCATTCAGTGACTGTAGCCTCATAGTCAATATCTGCAGCAGTTGTCGGAGTAGGGGCAGAAGCTCTCGTTCCCCTGAGGCAGAGCAAAGCCGACCGAAGGAGAGAGAAGGACAGTCGACATCTCATCCAGGCTGTAACATAACTTCTGGGCTGCTGCTTCTGTTCGGAGATCAACTCCATGAGTCTGGCGTAGAAACATCTTGCACTTGGGCCCATCCCACCAGAGGTTGTGAACACTAGAGGAGTGAAGCTGCCTTGATCAACGTTTTGAATTCTCTCCCCATATGCCCTTCTCTTGTCGTTCTCGTTCCTCCTATGTGCAGCATCGAGAGCTAGGTTACGGTGACAAGCGGCCATGGGATCAAAAATCCTGATGTCGAAGAAAGCTCGCTGTCCCCGCGTCCAGAATCCTCGAGCACTGACGTCCACACGGGCTACTACTACTACTACTTCTTCTTTGCTGTCACTCGGAATTGAGTGTGACGATCATTCAGTTATGATACAATGATATGAGTTATTAGGGATGTCACCTATGTTGGTGAGTTCTGAGGTGACTAAAGAGGCCGATATGGGACCGGCAGAGTCGTTTAAAGATGTTGCACATGTGGAGGGCTACATCTAGTGCGGGAGGGGCGGTGGCAGTGTCTTTCTGGCATTGGCGCTTGTCTGTCTCGGTATGCATTCGGGTTAACCCGAAAGTATTGACACCTTCCTGTGTGGTGCTCATCCAAGCGTTATAGTGTGGAGTAATCGTCTCCCAGGTAAAGGGGTCGATTTGGCACTTTTCAGGTTTGTCTTAAGACTATCCTTATACCTTTTCAGTTGCCCACCAGCATTACGTTTATTCTTCGTTAGGTGCCTGTAAAGTAGCTGCTTTGGCAGTCTACTGTCGTCCATGCAGGTAACATGGCCAGTCCAGCGTAGTTGTTCATGGATAATGGTAGCCTCGATGCTCCTACAGTTGGTGTCAGTGATTTTTTTTTTTTTTTTTACGGGCAGTAGCCCACCCGGGCACAGGTCATTTTTAATGACCCACATCAAGGCTTGGTGGGGGGGGGAGCGAAAATATAACAAAATAATAATTATAATTAGGATGGTGATAATAATAATAATAATAATAATAATAATAATAATAATAGTAATAAATATAAAATATATAAAATAAGTAACAATTATATAAAAATAAATAACAATTACAATAAAAGAAAATAATAATAATAAAAATATAAATTATATATAATAATAATAACAATAATAATGGGCCGTAAAAAAATATCAAGAGTGAGAAATGATATATTTATGTTGTGTTGTTAAAGTAAGAGAAACAATTGAGACCCTGCAATTGCGTGTAAATAAGGCAGAAAGTCAGATCAGCAACCTGGGATTTGATCACAATTTTTGTGATGCCATATGTACTGGCTTTTGTCCTCTTGTCTTCTCAGCGAACTTGGAGGATGGAACATAGACTACATTGGTGAACGTTTTCAAGTGCCTTGAGGTGCCTCCTGTATGTAACCCACTGTTCTCTAAGCTTTGTCAATAAATTTGTTAAACTAAAAAACGTGTCTTGCTGCCATATAGCAGGGTGAATCTCTTCATCAATGTCCGCAGTGGTGGACAGGTGGGAGCCGAGATACTGAAAGTGGGTAACATTAGAGAGGGTAGTACCGTTAAGCTAGATGGATGGTGGAGGTGTGGCTGAACCAGGGGCAGGTTAAAAGAGAATCTCAGTGTTACATACATTCACCTAAAGGCCGAAGTGTGCATACGCATCTGCGTAGGTGTTCAGGATCTCCTGTAGGTTGTGTTCAGTGTGAGCGACAAGGGTGAGGTCGTCTGCATACTGAAGTTCAGTAATGGAAGCTGCCGACACCTTTGTTCCTGCCAGGAGTCATCTTATGTTGAAAAGTCCCTTCATTCGGTAGTGGATGTCCACCCCGCCGGCTAAATTTAAATCAAAATGCTCCACGACCCCAATTGACCTCCCAATCAAAATATACAAGGAGTTTGCAGTCGAACTTGCCACCCCCCTCTGTTCTATTATTAATGCATCCCTCGGACAAAGCAAATGCCCTAATGAATGGAAAACTGCATTTGTCACCCCCATCCCCAAGGTCACCACCCCACAGTCCCCTAACGACCTCAGGCCAGTTGTCGTTACCCCCATACCCAGTCTGCTCTGTGAAGACTTTGTTTCTGAGTGGGCATTTGCTACAGTCTATCAGCCAAATGATCCACAGCAATTTGGCAATATGAGGACCTCCTCTACATTACACTGCTCAGTGAGCTTTCTGGATTCTCTGCACAAAAACCTGCAGAAATGTTAGACATCACTGGCCTTTGCCCCTGTTGACTTCAAGAAGGCCTTTGACCTTGTTGATCACTGCACTGTTATCAACAAGGCCATTGCACTAGGGCTGCCCACCAACCTGGTCTCATGGCTCACTGATTTCTTGAGTGGACGTCGTCAGGCAGTGAGGTATCAGGGCTCGGTCTCCACATTCCAACACCTCACCTGCGGTGTTCCCCAGGGGACCGAGATGGGACCACTGTGCTTCCTCATCCTGATCAACGACTCTCTATCGGACACTCCTCACAGGTGGAAGTACGTGGATGATTGCACTGTGGGGGTTAGTATGGACAACACCTCACTGGACTACTCATCGCTACAAGGCACCCTGGACAGGCTACAGGCATGGACTACGGAGAACAAGGTCACCATCAACCACACCAAAACTGTAGTCATGCACATCAATACCGCCACCACTCCAGTGCAAGCTCCAGCAGTCACAATGGGTGCCCATCCTCTGCAGTTAGTGCAGTCTGGCAAACTACTGGGTGTAACTATAGACAACAAACTGGACTGGAAGGCCCATGTAAATAACACAGTCAAGGCAGCCTCGTACCGACTCTACATGCTACGACGACTTAGGTCACTTGGGACACCCACGCCAGAGCTGAGGACTATCTACAATGCCTTTATTCTCCCCAAACTAACGTATGCGTCACCAGCCTGGTCGTCTTCTCTCAACTCCACCCAACAATGTCGGCTAGAGAAGGTACAGAAAAGGGCCTGCAGAATCATGCTCGGCGCAGAATACTCCGGCTACATCAACGCTCTCTCCACCCTGGGAATACCATCCCCCGGTGACTTCCACCACCAAGCACTGGCAAGGTTTGGTAGTGAACTAATGCACCACCCTCATCATCGCCACCTCCTGCCACCGGCAGTCCCCCACCCACCTCGCACAGTCCGCCACTATAACAATTCAGCCCATAAGAGCCCGCACCGATAGATATAAGAATAGCACCATCCCATCTATTGTTGAAATACTAAACAACTCCTGATTTATGTACTGTACAGCCCTGTAAATGTATTCAATGCATATTATATCATTATGTCTAAATCAAATGTAAGTCTGTATATTTTCAGCCACCGGCTGCAACTCTATTAATAAACCGTTTATTATTATTATTATTACACACCTACCTCTGGGGCAAGGTGTGGGCGGTTTACCTTCAGTAGGGGTCCTACCTCATGTGACCTGCCCTGCTGGTCCTCCCTCCAGACAGCCCTTGCATTAAACATAATACCGGTACTGTAATTAATAAAACAAAGTTAATGGTGTTTGTTTTATTAAGCTTGTGAAGCATTAGAAAATATCAGAGAAAGTTTATATAGAAAATACGGACAAAACACAATCACAGAAAACGTAAATCCTTAACCAATGTTGCATAGCATAACTAAGGTATTATGAGAAATCTGATCGCACACCCTCCAACACCAAAACCCAATAATTTCTTAGTGTTATAATTTCAATTTTTAAATCCCTATTTGCTTTTACTCTGCATAAGAAAATTAGGCAAATTAAGCCACACTTCCACAACATTGCTAAAGCTGCCTCCCTAAAGCTGGGAATGCTGTACAGATGCCATAACTTCTTCACTCCTGAGCAGTTGCTTCAAGTTTATAAGGGATACATTCGTCTTAACTTGGAGTACTGCTTTATCATCTGGGGTGGCTCTTTTTCTGTCCAACTGTTAGATAGGGTGGAATTAAAGGCACTTCATCTTATTGATTCTCCTCCTTTAGTTGATAATATTTCTTCCCTTTCTCTTCTCCGCAATGGTGCTTCACTCTCTCTCTTTTACAGGTACTTTAACGGGCAATGTTCGGTGGATTTGGCATCCTGAGTACCGCCGGCAAGGCAGTGGGCTCGTAACACTCGTTTTGCCCGCAGTGCCCACAGTTTCTCTGTGGGTCGATGACCTGTGCCCGGGTGGGCAGAGGTCGAGGGTTCGAATGTATGTACCCGCGATAAGGCATTTTAATATACTGTAAGAGTTCTTTTCTGTTTCAGTTTAGAGAGAACCATTCAAGACTTGAAAATGTCAACAGCTGTTAAAGTGTTAAACTTGGAGGGAAGTGATGACAAGAGCGCCAATGGCCCCTCCACTACTGACGTCCTGACCATATCTCAACTGCTGCAGAAGTCTATGTTGAGGTAAACCAGAATACCCACCACGAGTGAGGTCCAGGGATATATGTTTCTTTTTGGTGAAATATCATCATATCACTTAAAGATAATGGTCACTATAATATACAATGGTCACCTCTGTTTGGCTGGCCATGGGGTGCTGCGTGTCTGTAACAAGGTATTTTGTGTGCGTGTGTAACTAGGTACTGTGTGTGTGTGCAACCGTGAACAGTTAGGTAACATTGTCGCTCTATAACATATATTTTCTTGACCATTAAGGACTGGGGCTCATTTGGACTGGTCCACAGTGTTAAAGGTGAGGTTAAGTCAGGTTGAGGCCTATTAAGACCATGACCCTTCTAACACTTGCAGATTGACGGGGAAGTTCTTCAACGAGGAGGCTGGTACTGTTAATTACAAAGCCCTCAGGGACTCCCAGGAGTACAGGTGAGTTCTATGCCTGTTTGGTGATCACAGTTAAGCCCTACACCTGTCATAAATTCAATAAGTTTCAGCTGTCGGGGACCATAATTAAATCCCACACAAGTTAAGTTCCATACCTGCAACTGATCCAGAGCTGACTTGGCACAGTACAGTTGATGGATTACCTGTTAGAAGTGTGTGTGTGCGTGCGGTGGTGAAATGCGTGTAGAGTGGCAGCATTATGTTAGTGTTAAGGTGCAGGCACTGTTTGCTCCCTCTTGCTTTCAGCTGCCTCCGCTGGCTAGCCTTCTTGGCGAACAGGGAAGCAACTTGCATAAGTCTTCCCCTGCCAGTACACAGCCTCCTCATCATCAAGACTCCTACTGTGCCTCCTCGTGGCAACACACGGTAACTGGGTGCCTCGTGGGCCCAGGCTAGATCAGCAGGGGATCTCGGAGTAGCAATGGGCACCAGAGGGACGGCGCATAGTCCCGCTGGCATGTGGACACGTCCTGGCGCCTACCAACCCCCGCCCCTCTGCCTTGCAGATTAACCTTGGCAGGTATAAGGCTACGGGAGTAAACCCCGAACAAAAAATATGCGGTGGAGCTCCATATCAGGTAGACATGATTACAGAGTTCCAACAAGACCTCAACAACGGTGTAGGCAGAAGAGGTGACCACCATGGAAACCCAACAACTACACTGGCGGACGAAGGCAATGCCTGATGGACAGGCTATTAAGGCAAAACCCAACAAACTGGGCTATTGGCAATCCATTGTGACTCGCCCTCTCCCCAGTTGTTGCTACACTTGCACCACTGGATCAGGAAAAGGGAGAGCCAGGATGTGTGGTTGCAGCCTGCGCTCTTGCTTCACCACATAAATCAACTCACGCGCAGCCAACATTCAGTTCATCATACCTCTAATCATCATCAAAACCCCTATACCCCGAAAAGTCCGATGGCGATGGCACAGGCAGAGATGACTGCTGGGACTCTTTAGTCACAACTCTGCACATTGGCGGCAGAGATTAGAGGGTCGTTTATGCACTGGGATCTTGGCAGCAGTGCAATCCGGTCCTGTCTGTGTGACTGAGCAGCCTTTTCAAGGAGCCACTCTGGTCACCTCACATGAAGAGGGGGATAGAAAAGGTGCCCTAAACATAGCCTGCCTAAAAAAAAAAACCCTGACTGGGCAAGCGCTCTCAGTAAGGTCATCCTTCTGTGGTCGAAAACACAATTATAATCTCAGATCAAAACAAAAACAAACTCATATGGTCACTGCATGGAATGTCAGGACCCTTCTGGATACTGGCACAAATGAGCATACTGAAAGAAGAACTGCCACTGTGGCAAAAGAGCTGGCTAGGTATAGCATCAATAAAGCAGCCATTAATGAGTCCCAGATGAGGATCACTCACAGAACAGGGGTCTGGCTATACCTTCTTCTGGAAGGGTAAGCCTGCTGTGGAGAGAAACCGCATTTATGGAGTTGGCTTTGCCATCCACCAATGCAGCCTTTACAGGCCAACTGAAATGCCTGTTGGGATCAACGAGTGCCTCATGACGTTTAGAGTCCCACTGACTCACTCACGTCATGCCTTTTTCATCAGTGCATATGCCCCAACACTTGATGCAGAGGATGACATCAAGGAGGCCTTTTATGCCGACCTTGACAGAGTGCTAACCTGTATCTCTAGAGAAGATATGGTTGTACTCCTTGGTGACTTTAATGCCGGAGTTGGCAGAGATGCTGACATTTGGCAGGGAACCATAGGGAGGAATGGACTTGGCATGTGTAATCCCAACTGCCTACTCCTCCTCAACAAGTGTGCTGCACACAACTTCGTTATCACCAATACCTTGTTTAGGCACTGGCATCTCATAAACTACATCATTGTCAGAGAAAGGGATCGCCGAGATGTCCTCATCAACCGATCAATGCGTGGCTCAGACCACTGTGACATTGATCATCGACTCATCAGAGCTAAGCTCTCACTTCACGTCACCCCTAAACGGCGAAGGCAACAAGCCTCCAGAAGAAGTTTTAACTCTAACCATCTGGAGGATCCAGCGGTAGCACATGCTTTCAGAGAGCAGCTCGAACATGGGCTGATAAACAACCCAACAACAAACAACCCTAATTCCAGTGCCGAATGGGATATTCTCGAAACTGTCATGAGAAAAACCTGCAGAGAGACCCTCGGCCAGATCGAAAGAATACACCAGGACTGGTTTGATGAAAATTATCAGGAAATCAAAGTACTCATCGATGATAAACGTGCTGCTTTCTGTGACTGGCAGAACAACCCTCAGTCTCGGACCAAAGCTGATACCTTCTGCAAGAACTTTACAAACTAAAGAATGACTGGTTTAAAAATAAAGCATATGAACCACAAAAACTTGCAGATCAACAAAACATGTGCGAATTTTTCAATTCTACTAAAATATTTTATGGGCCAATCACTCATGGCACAGCTTCCCTCCACTCATGCGACCGTAACTCCCTAATTAAAGACGAAGAAGGCATCAGTCAGCACTGGAAATGCACTACCATTCGCTGCTCAACCAAAACACCAATGTAGATGTCCTGACTACCCAGCAGTTCTCTCAGCATCTAGAGCTGACCCATCTCAGCTATCCTTCATCCCTGGACGAGGTAGCTACTGTTATCAAACTCATGAAAAATATTAAAGCCTCAGGGCCTGATAGAATCAAGGCCGAGGTGTATAAAAGCAGGAAGACCTCATTTTACTAGCTGTCTCCACTCTCTCCTGGAGAATATATTGGAAAAGGAGAAAATCCCCCAAGCTCTTAAAGACTCCTCCAACGTCAATATTTATAAGAACAAGGGAGACCAGTCAGACAGTGGCAACTACCGTGGGATCTCGCTGCTGTCTGTAGCTGGCAAGATTATCACCCAAGTTCTCTTAAACAGACTTCTTCTTGATGCAGAAAACTTCCTCTCTTAATCTCAATGTGGCTTAAGACTCACATGGCACCACTGACATGACCTTTGCTTCCCGCCAGATGCAGGAAAAGTGCAGAGAACAGCGTTGGGACCTGTACATGGCCTTCATCGACCTAACAAAGGCCTTCGACTCGGTAAACAAGGAAGCCCTCTGGCGGACGCTCAACCGTTTAGGTTATCCACCAAAATTCATCGCCATCGTAAGGCAACTCCACGATGGCATGAACGGCAGTGTTCTGCACAATGGTACCCAGTCAGAGTTCTTTCCCCTCCAAATGAGGTAAAACAAGGATGTGTACTGGCACCAACTCTTTCCATTTTCTTGGCTGCCTTCCTTACTAATGCCAGTGCCAATTTAGCTGGCTGGTTGGACATCCAGTACCGGAAGAACCTGGGGGGTCTTTTCTACATAAAGCGACTCCAGGTGTCGGCAGCTTCCATTCCTGAACTTCAGTATGGAGACGACCTCACCCTTGTCGCTCACACTGAATGCGACCTACAGGAAATCCTGAACACCTACACAGATGCGTATGCACACTTCGGCCTTGAGGTGAATGTACATAACACTCAGATTCTCTTTCAACCTGCCCCTGGTTCAGTCACACCTCCACCATCCAACCAGCTTAACGATACTACCCTCTCTAATGTTACCCACTTTCATTATCTCGACTTCCACCTGTCCTCCACTGCGGACATCGATGAAGAGATTCAACATCAGAACTGACGTGCATCTCAAGCCTTTGGCAGACTCTGTACCCGTGACTTCATCTGTAGGGTGCTGAAATTATCTACAAAGTTGTACGTATATCGAGCAGTGGTCCTCCCCACCCTGCTACCGTATATGGCAGCGAGACTTGGGTCACATACATGAGGCACCTCAGGGAACTTGAAAACTTTCTTCAGCGTAGTTTACATTCCATCCTCCGAGTTCGCTGGGAAGACAAGAGTACAAATGCCAGTATTCTCGCTGACTCCAAATGTAAGAGCATAAACACTATCATTATCCATGAACAACTACGCTGGACTGGCCATGTTATCCGCATGGATGACAGTAGACTGCTAAAGCAGCTACTTTACAGTCACCTAACGAATAGTAAACGTAATGCTGCCGGGCAACTGGAAAGGTATAAGGATAGTCATAAGACTAACCTGAAAAAGTGCCAAATCGACCCCCTCACCTGGGAGACGACTACTCCACACCGTAACGCTTGGAGGAGCACCACACGAGAAGGTGACAATACTTTCGAGTTAGCCTGACTGCATACCGAGGCAGACAAGCGCCAACGCCGGAAAAACGCTGTCGCCGCTCCTCACACACTAGATGGAGCCATTCACATGTGCAACTTCTGTGAAAAACTCTGCCAGTCCCGTATCGGCAACGAAGATGACATCCTTAGTTAGGCATATCATTGTATCATAGCTGGATGATCGCCATACTCGACTCGGAGTGACATCAAAGTAGTAGTAGTAGTGTGTGTGTCTGTGTGTAACAAGGTGCTATGTGTAACAAGATGCTGTGTGTGTGACAAAGTGCTGTGTGTATGTTTGTGTATGTGAGTGTGTCTGTAACAAGGTGCTGTGTGTGACGGAGAGTTATTTCTTTATGTAGTCACCTCTAAATTAATTATCATACTAATGATATTACAGTCGGCCCTTAACATTCACGGGGGTTAGGTAACAGAGATACCCGTGAATGTTAAAAATCCGTGTACTATTGCTGCCCCCCCCCCCCTAAAAAATCCCTGGCCCCCCATGTCCTTATTTACCGTATATACCTGTGTGTAGTTCGAGTTTTTAAGACCAAATTATTTGGCAAAAATTGGGGGTCGACCTCTAAACGGGTAATAGTTTCGTTAGGTTGAAAAATATTTACCAGTAACTACAGGTAGTTCTGCTATAACGCGATAATTGTGTTCTTGTAAAATATCGTGTTATAGAAAATCGCGTAATAGAAATAACAGGGCTTATGGAGAAAATAGGGTTAGGTGCAGATTACTCGAAATCGAAAAAATTTAGTAGTTAGCCTAACACAAAGGATAGCACAGTCTAAATAAATGTTACATTCATATCTAATAATGAAATCATACAGTAAATTTAACACTTTACCTTGAAAAAATATGAATGTAACTTGATGGGGGAGAAGGGTGATTTTGAGGTTGATAACATCAAGCTTCTCTTCAAGTGTTATATCCTTTCTTTTACGATAATCACCGGGAATTCTATCATCAGAATGCTTTTTGGAGATATTCTTCTTTACCATATTCACAGTTAATACCACAAAATTGGAGAAATAGTAAGCAAAAATCGCGTTATAGCAAACAAGCGATCGCGTTATACAAATATTGTTCCGAATTCATAAATCGCGTTAGAGCAAATTCGCGTTATCAAAACACGCGTTATAGCAGAACTCACTGTACCAGTAAACAATGGAAATGATGCACCAACACACCACCAGCTGTGAGTGTCGGTACAGTTGCCAGGGCAGATCTCTTGCGAGCCCAAAGTAGCCAAATCCATGGTATGGTAGCACAGGACGATGTAAAACAAAGTATTCATTTATTAAAGTTAATTTATAGATACTGGACATAAATTTTTGTTCATTACATTTGAAACATCAATCTTTGTTAATTAAATTTGAAACAAGAGAAAACTACGATACTGGATTTTCATTAAAATATTACATCACAAGTATATTTTACCTTAACTGTGACTGAATGAATATATTCTCGGAAATAAATATGGAAATGTAATATTTTTGCTGGAATGACGTACATATTATAGTGGGAAGTGGGATAAAATCATGACGAAAGACTTTCGCTTTCTTTTGTTGTTCAAAATATTTTACCGTAATCGCTTTTCGAATGGTTTTCAGTTAAAAAACTGTTGTACTCGTACTGTATTACAATAATATTCTATCCTATCATTAGACTTATAATCCCACAACTGAAAACCATTCGAAAAGCGATTACGGTAACATCTTTTGAACGAAAGAAAGCGAAAGTCATTGCTTTCGTCACTTTCCACTGTAATACGTACATCATTTCAGCAAAAACATTACATTTCCATGTTCTCAGAAATAAATGGTAGTTTTGTTGAAACGTAATGTACAGTATTTAACATTAAAATGCAAAAATAACTATAAAAACAATTAATACACCCGTAATGTACTGACTGGCATCTCCACTTGTTCCTGCTCCCGCCAGTCACCTCCTCCCCGCTCTATCCCTCCGCCTCCTCCACATCGTCACTACTGTTGTATTACAATAATATTCTATCCTAATTGACTTGAATAAATACTACGATACCATATTTCTGAATATTTTCATTAAAATCCATCCAAATCATTTTCCTTGCCATCGTCTGCAGCACCAAACAGCTTCTCCCAGTCCTCTCCTTGAACAGGGCTAGAGGGTACGTGTTTTTCGAATCATTTTCAATTAAAAAAATGTTACATCACACGTATATTTTACCTAAACTGCGCCTGAATGAATATATTCTTGGAAATAAATAGTAATTTTGCTGAAACGTGATGTATTTCAATGTAAAATAGGATAAAATACATGAAAACAAAAGACTTCACCTAACCTTCCAATGTTCAAGAGATGATACTCGTTTTTTTAATAGTTTTCCGTTAAAATACTGTTATATTACAATGATATTATATTCATACTGTGCTTGATATACTACATTCACAGAAATTAAATATTTTTGCTGAAATGACGTAAGTATTACAGTGGAATGTGGGACAAAATCGTGACGAAAACAATGACTTTCGCTTTCTTTTGTTCAAAAGATGTTACCGTAATCGCTTTTCGAATGGTTTTCAGTTGTGGGATTATAAGGCTAATGATAGGATAGAATATTATTGTAATACAACAGTTTTTTAACTGAAAACCATTTGAAAAGCGATTACGGTAACATCTTTTGAGCGAAAGAAAGCGAGTCATTGCTTTCGTCACTTTCCACTGTAATACGTACGTCATTTCAGCAAAATATTACATTTCCATATTCTCAGAAATAAATAGTACTTTTGCTGAAACGTGATGTATTTCAATGTAAATTAGGATAAAATACATGACGAAAAAAAGAGACTTTACCTAACCTTCCAATGTTCAAGAGATGTTACTCGTTTTTTCAGTAGTTTTCGGTTAAAATACTCTTATATTAGTGATATTCTATTCATACTGTGCTTGATATAATACATTCACGGAAATGTAATATTTTTGCAACTACAATGCTGATGTCAACACAAGTGTGGTTACAGCGAGACTGACTGAGTGAGGGAGAGCTATGCGTGTGTGTGTGTGAGGTAGAGGGAGCGGGCGGTGTCCCGTGTTCGGTGCCGCGCGCGAGTTGAATGGCACGCGATTTGAATGTACTTCAATTACTTCAATGTACAGAATATTCCTCTGGCGGGGCAATCCGCGTATTTGCGAATCCGTGAATGCTAAACCCGCGTATGTGAAGGGCCGACTGTATTCAGGTTATTCATGAAATGCTGTGGTTATCTCTATAATTCTCCTGCGAAAAAAATTACAATGAATAAAGTGTTTCGACCCTCCTTTCACCATTTACCCAGCTCCCACCACTGGTTACCAACGGCCAGGCTTTGTACAGAAGCAGTAGATATCTCACAAGTGTCGTCGAATTACCACTATCTGTCCCGCCAGTCTCCGGTAATTTCCCGACGATCGGTATTAGTGTACAGACAAATAACAGGCAAGTTGAATTCCACCGGGTCCCAGAAACACAGTCGTGCACTATAGTCAATTTTAATAGTCACTAATTTTTCACAACACTGTTCGCAGGGTAGTGGCTTCACAGCTGGATTTCTCACTTCGAATATATATTGTAGACAGCACACTTCCAGTGTACAATTCCTTTGTCTTTTCACTTTATATGGATCACAACAATTCCACAATCCTTGCACAACTCTTCAGTTGTCCTACTAGGCTTCTTGATACTGAGCAGAAACGATCGACCTGACTCAAGGCTGCTCCCTGACGCTTATATGTCTTGCCAGACGCCTAGAGCATTTTAGTGATATCCAGACGCTGGAGGTCGGCTCAAGACATGCCTGGATAATTCTAAAATGATCTAGGCTTACAATAAGAAGTAAAATATAACACAAATGATGTAATACATTCCAGAAAATTCTTACGTGAGTAATACATCAATATATACATTAAAATCTTCTTAAACTTGCCAAAATAACTGTTGCTTGGGACAGAAAATAATCAAAACACCTAGTTTACAAACATTATAATAAAAAATTTTGTCTCGGCATAACAGAAGGTTTTTGATAAAAGCCCATGAGGTATATTGTTATTCACCAATCACATAGCAATGAACTGATTTTATATTTTGAATATAGTTGTGGGGTTATAAGATATTGGTTCACACTCAGGATGGGATGGAGAAAGAAAACTCACAATGTGCTCACTGTATACTTATTGTATTGGATGTACAATGCAGCTTGGTGCTGGGTAGGCAGCATGGTAACAAGCGTTGAGTAGAGAGAGCTGATTGGTGAGGGTGCCCAGAGGAGGACAAGCAGCTTGAGGGACGCCAAGGTCGCCGGCAGGAGCGGCAGCTGCCCGGCTGGCGCGGAGGAGGAGGTGTTGCTTGCTGGTGGCAGTGAGTAGAGAGAGGCTGGTCACAGCGGTGTCAGGCCTTATAAGGCGGGGGTAGGCGTGGGTAGATAGTTGACCCCTGCCCCGACAGGCGGCACTGGAGGCGTAGGCTGGGGAATTCGAGAAGGTTCGGCTACTCAGCGAAAAATGTCACTTTTAGGTGAGGAATCCACTACAAAGTAACTAAATTAGATCTACCATAATAGGTAGGAAATATCTCACAATCATGCCTAGCAACCCTAGCGAGACTACAGGATTGTTCAGTTCCAAAATCATCGGACCCTCCTGAAACATGCTCTTTTTTTCACCTAGTGTACACCTGAGACTCCCAAAAAACTATTACTATTATATTATTATTATTATTACATGTCAGGTGTCTCACACAGGGAGTACTGCGTCCTAGCTGGCAGACTACGTGAGGTGGACATCGCTGGCCTAGATGACACAGAGAAACTAGTCTTCTTCATTAGTATCCTTTTATGTGCTACTCGTGCCCCGTGTGTGTGTGTGTGTGTGTGTGTGCGTGTGTGCGTGCGCGCGTGTATGCGCGCAGCGTGCTGGCAGACTACGGAGGTGGACATCGCTGGCATTGATGACACAGAGAAACTAGTCTTCATCATTAGTATCCTTTATTGTGCTTGTCGTGTGTGTGTGTGTTTTTTTTTTTACAAGTCATAGTTTGGTAGTGATAGCTATACAGTATATCGTGCGTGAATGACGAATGACATGTATCAGTTCATGAAACATCGATCTGTTATTTTAGGTTTTGCTCAGCTAAGACAACCATCCCCCAACACCTTAATTCCTTAAGTACGATGACTTAATCTATTGAGTGATCATACTCAAGGGGTTAAATTATCGTACTGAAAGGGTTAAGTCATTGTACTGAAGGGGTTGTCATCGCACTGAAAGGGTTAAGTCATTGTACTGAAGGGGTTAAGTCTGAAGGGGTTAAGTCATTGTACTGTGGGATAATGAGACCCTTGCACGTAGGACTCGATTGTTCTTTATTCGGTCAAAACCTGCAGAGTACAAATTACATATGTTATGTATGCGATAATTAATTCACTCGTACGTTCCTTCACTATTGACAACTACATATGATATATTTAAGAAGAGTAGGGTGTTAAACCATATAAAAACTTGCGTGTTTCGGGTCTAATGTAGGACTTATTAGCTCCCTGACTTGCTAGCTCACTGGACGGCTAGAGACTATCTTCTGAACCTCACAAGGAGCGAGTTAGTTTTACATTTATGACCTCAGTAAAGTTCGTTGTAAACACTCACTCTGTCTCTCTCCTGTCTCCCTTTATCTCTCTCTATCCCTCTCTTTCTCTCTCTCTTCTAGTTTATCCTACTGTGGCGGTAACAGTACTAAAGGGGTTAAGTCATCGTTCTGAAGTTAAGTCATCGTACTCAAGGGATTACAACACATAGCAGGAATAAGACATGTTTATTGTTTTTGTTTAGTTTAATAATATGTGGCAGGTTGTGAGATCAATGTAGGTGTAGGCTGATCTAAACCTTCGGTCACTATTAAATCTTTTTTGGGGGTCACTTAATTCCCTACAAATTTGAAATTTTCCGTAATTAGAACCTTTTTTGCAAGGTTAAATGAGAATAAATGATAAAAAAAATTTTTTTTTTTTTTTTAAACTCTGAATGAGGAAAATTCCAAGAATATAATAGAGAGAGAGAGAGAGAGAGAGAGAGAGAGATATGGTGTGTGTTAGTAGACGAGAGAGTAGACGCAGCATAAATTTCCTTATAGTGTGTGCCTTAAGATGTGTACAACGCCCTGACGGTGGACAGCCTGACTCAGATGGACACACTGCCCTCCTCAACCCTGCACGTGGAAAACTTCTGGTCCACCACCGCCTACACCATCGGCGCCCACGCCTACACCCTTGACCACATCGAACACGGCATCCTCAGAGGTTTGTACAAGCATGTTTGTTTTGCTGTCAGACACTCAAGTGTTCGTCTTACCATGTTTTTGGTCCTGTTCTTCCTCCCTTGTGAGTCCCAAGTCTCTCGTAAAAAAAAAACTGATCCATATGATCCATGTCTTTGAATTCTTAAATGTTGACAACTTCGGCCAGGTATAATAACATTTATTTAACTTTGAACTGACTGTGAAATCCCTTGAGAGTGGATTCTATTGTCTAAGAAATGGTCTGAAGAATCTGAGTACAGTACTAATAAACCTGTTTTATTGACTGATGCCAGGCTTATACAGTTACACGTTCCTTCATTATGTGAATTTAGCCGAATAATGATATGTAATATTATGAAAGTCATTCCTATACTGTATTTTATTTTGTCTTTGTTACACAAGGTGGCACTGTGACCAGCACAGCACACGGCTGCCTTCACTTCCTTTACTGTAAAGTTAGGGACCTACTGACAAGAAGGTGGATAGGGGTTGCCCTTAGCATGAGCTAGTGACCATTAGGGCAGGAAGAGAGCCCTGTATTTACTTGACAGCCGTACCTCTCGACTGTTATTTATTACAGTTCTAAAGTTTCAAAAGATTCCTGAGAAACTACAGATTTAACAAGCCTTATTATCTGCATTCTTGGTCAACTTTTTCCAGGGTCGAGCATTTGACGAGAGGTTTCTTACCTGTGGCTCATGTCAGCTTATGTTCTTCCCCAGGAAACAAGATTCACCCCAGCTTCGGGAACCCAGTCCTGGCACCCGGTGACCCCCGCCTCAAACACTCCCTTCCTCACGTCGACCCCAGAATACACTTCGCCCTTAACTGTGGCGCCAAGGTGAGCGTTACTGACTTAAGTGGTGGTCTCCTGCTCACCTTGGTATACATTGTACATTACTCGAGTGTATGTATGTACTGGAAGACACACTTTGCACACAACATAAAAACCACCATCCACGGTATTAACACACACAACACATATGCAACATAAAATCACACAAATGCACTCACACATACCTTGGTCTTGCCATCGTGTGCACCCACAGACGTGTCCGGTAGTGAGGGTGTACAGCAGCAGTAACTTGGAGGCAGCGCTGGAGGGAGCCACCAAGTCCTACCTGTCGCAGGAGGTGCAAGTGAAGGACGGGGTGCTGAGGCTGCCTCAGATACTAGAGTGGTACCTGGATGACTTTGCTCAAGACCAACAGGGAATGCTCAGGTTTGCATTGGATTTGTTGAGTTGATTGACAGATAACTTAAGTTAATAAAATTACCTTAGTCACGGATTGTCCCATGACCAATGGACGCGTTGAAAATCGGAATTTTTTCGTAAGATGACAGGTCAATGGATAAAGAAAACACTTAAATTCACTATGGTAATTATATTTTTTAATAAATTGGGCCAAAAAGTGTACAAAAAATAGGGGTTAAAAGTAGCTAAAAAGACATGTGACTGCGAAAAGCTCTGTGATTGGTTGTGACATCACATACTTGCTCAAGCCGCCGAGCGGGAGTCTGAAGGTAGCCGGCTGTGGTGTACTGTGTGTGTTGTTACCAGCAGAACTACAAGACTTGCGGCCATATACAATGTTGATATACACAGGCATACCTTATTTTTAGGTTAAAATAAATTACTGTTTGAGTATCATCGTGTGTATTTACTTGCTGGCTGCCAAAATGATGCAAAAGACCGATAACTCCAACTTGGAATTTTTCATCACTGTTCTCTATTTCATGTCTGGAAAGTGGAAGTTTTCGTCTCTGAGGTCTATATTTAATGTTGTGGAAGGACTAGAGGACGACCAAGGCCAGGGGATGGGCTTGAGATGATCAGATGACAGATGTAATTTAACGTGCTTCATGGCTGGATGGCCGAGTTCTTGATAATACTCTACAGTCATAAAGACATCTACTTTTGGTAAATTTCTTTCTTCTGCCTTGATGAACCCTGGAAGTAGTTATCCAACCTTCTCAGCTGATCGGCTCTGTAAATTAATATTATTAGAAAATTAAATGTGCTTTACTGTGCAATACAGTAATACTATATTGAATATGTAAATACTACTAAGCACATTAACTAATTCAATGGATATTTGCTGCCCCTACTACAAATTTCATAGTATAAACTTTCCAAACAATATTGGTATTATTTTGGACTTGGTCATCTGGGGAACTTTAAGATTCTAACTATGGGATTAAGTAATTTAAACATTAAGACACATTATCTCTACGGGATTTCTATCGCAAAACATTTTTCTATCGCATAAGAAAATACAAGTCATAGGTTATGTTAGGTTAGGGTATGATGAGTTATATTATAAATTATAAGATTAGCTTAACGCCTTAACATACACCGGTAAGGGGAAGGGGGGGTTAGTAACTCAAAACTAGTGATTTCTGATATAAATGGAGGGTAAAATCGTTCATAACACATCACAAACCATCAGCAAAAAACATAGTCTACATGTCTAAGTACAGGGATGACTAAAACTTAAAATTTACCCAGTAAGCCTATCTCGAATCTAAGCATCCAAATACTTATGTTAGTTAAAGTAAAATTTTACCCATTAATTAATATAAATGATGATATATCCCAGTGGTTCATTAGTGAATCATCAAAACAAGAACAACACTATGTTGTCATGTTTACCTAACACCAGGCATTCTCAAAACAAAGTCCAGACAATGTTATTACTTCTAAATTAACTCATATCTCCATCTAGTACTGATATACTCTGTAAATACACTGAAAAAAAGAGAGAAAGTTTACCAGGTAAGAGTACATGGCAGCTGAGCTGGTGTGAAAATGGGAGTTTTTATGTCGATAAGAACATAAAAATGGAGGAAACTGCAGCAGGCCTATTGGCCCATACTGGGCAGTCCCATTTACACCCAACCTCTATCTCTCATAAATCCTTCCAAACCTTATGTTTGAAGCTGCTCTTCACGGCACATTTCTTCACTTACGAAATCTCTATGACTTAGACCATAAAAAAAACACCCTTAAAACTTACCTGAACGTGGCATTTGGGGTCTGAAGAGGCCACCCTTTGATAGACTCCGACTGCAGCGGTGAGTTTGTTCGAAAACGTCGTCTGCGGGGTAGGTGGTGACGTCATTGCAAATGGCGGCCCTGTTTCTAGAGAAATTGACATATCTCTACTATTATAGCAGGACTTTAAACTTTTATCACAAATTAAATATACTGTATCACTCTACGAACGTGGTAGAGTGTATTTCTTGTGTTTACCCAGAACCAACAACTCGTCCATTCATATATATATATATATATATATATATATATATATATATATATATATATATATATATATATATATATATATATATATATATATATATATATATATATATATATATATATATATATATACATACATACATACATACATACATACATACATACATACATACATACATACATACATACATACATACATACATACATACATACATACATACATACATACATACATACATACATACATACATATATATATATATATATATATATATATATACATACATATACATACATATACAGACCCCAATCTCACGACTGCTTCGATTTACTTAATCGGGACTTACGACACCGCAGTTGTGACCATTTTTTTTTTCAAATGACGCACGCATTTTCTATACCGAAACGTTTCCAGTTAATGTAGTCTCCATGTATAATTAGAAAATTATGGGGGGCCCCATGTGCATTCAGCTGACTACATTAAAGGTAAGTGCTCAGTCACACTGTATCCATTCCTCATTATTTATTACTTTCACTGTACTGTATTTCATTGTAGATTTTTATTAAAAAAAAAAAATTTTTTATTCTATGTCTAATTATGACCTGGATTTGGGTCCCTAACCCTGTCGTAAGTCGGGGCCTAGCTGTATATATATATATATATGGACGAGATAATCAGCGTTAAGTGAACAACGAGCATATGGGATTAATTCAATAGAAACGGCCTGACCCCCAAACTCCACTTTTGACGCATGCCTATGTTGTAGTAAAAATAACATCTTAATTTTATGATGGTACATTGCACAATTAATAGAAAGAAATACAGTGTAGCCAGAAGTTAATGTCCATTCAAATAATGGACTCAACTCCCTCCACTCTCACACACTACACTTTCGCTGGCTCTTCCCTCTCAGAAATTTTTGGGGAAAACCACTAAATTTTAATAAATAATACCTCAAACTAAAGTTAGGATAATACACAATTGACATTGCTGGATTCCTTGTAAGACCAGGAATATTTTGAATATAAATGTCATATATTTTGCACAAAAGATAACATAGTTACCTAGAAAATTTTTATCTAAAATTTGTATGTTTTTTTTTATCTATATCTGCGGTCGTAAGTCGACGATGCGTGAAATCACGTTATTGTAAGTGGGGTCTAGGTGTATATATATATATATATATATATATATATATATATATATATATATATATATATATATATATATATATATATATATATATATATATATATATACAGTATGCCCACTTAGCGGTCAATTGAACCCAGAGGTCCGCGTTAAGTGAAATCGTGCAAGTGAACAACAGAACATATGGGATTAATTCCAAAGAAACCGTGACCCCCAAACTCCACTTTTGAAGGCACATATACCTATGTTGTAGTAAAAATAACATCTCTTAATTTTATGATGGTACATGCACAATTAATACTTAGAAATACAGTCGCCAAGTTAATGTCCATTCAAATAATGGACTCAACTCCTCCCCTCTCACACTACTTGCTGGCTCTTTCCTCTCTCAGAGAGAAATTTTGGGAAAACCACTAAATTTTAATAAATAATACCTCAAACTAAAGTTAGGATAATACAATTGACATTGCTGGATTCCTTGTAAGACCAGGAATATTTTGAATATAAATGTCATATATTTTGCACAAAAGATAACATAGTTACCTAGAGAAAATTTTATCTAAAATTTGTATGTTTAATGAAAAATATATGATGTTTATATTCAAAATGATCATAAATTATAAGAATTCCAGCAATGTAACATATTCTGGAGTAATTTGTATGAATTTTATGAGCTAAAACAAATATCTTCAGTTAATAAAAAAAAAATCTTCACAACACTATCTGTCAATCAAAGTACCCCACCTTGCCTCCCCCCTCTTCCAACCATACGGTCAGTCCCAACCCTCCCCCCACCCCCACCAATCCTCCCTTCCAGGGTTTTTAACATTTAGTATAAATAACCTTAGATTAAGTTAGGATAATATAATTGACATTGCTGGATTCATGTAAGACCAGGAATATTTTGAATATAAATGTCATATATTTTGCACAAAGATAACATAGTTAATTTGAGAAAAAATTTTATCTAAAATTTGTATGTCTAATGCAAAAATATGATGTTTTTATTCAAAATGATCATCAAATTATAAGAATTCAGCAATGTAAATTATATTCAGACCGGATAATTTATAATTTTGAGCTAAAACAAATATCTTCAGTCAATAAAAAAAAATAATTCTTCACAGGGTAACAGATGGTGGTTGGGTCCCTCCTCCCCCCCACCCCACCAACCGTCCCAAGGAGATGTGGGATAACCACTAAATTTTAATAAATAATACCTCAAACTAAGTTAGGATAATATAATTGACATTGCTGGATTCCTTGTAAGACCAGGAATATTTTGAATATAAATGTCATATTTTGCACAAAAGATAACATAGTTAATTTGAGAAAAATTTTTATCTAAAATTTGTATGTCTAATGCAAAAAATATGTGTTTATATTCAAATGATCACCAAATTAAAATTCAGCAATGTAAATTATATTCTGGCCAGTAATTTGTATGAATTTTATGAGCTAAAACAGGCAGTCAGGCAGTTGGGGCAAATCTAAAATAGCTCTCGGGCGGACACTCACCGTGTATATGTGGAAAAAATCCGTGTTAAGTGAAAGTTCAGCTCTGGCGAGGCACGCGTATATGATAAAAGCGTTAAGTGAAACACGCGTTAGGCGGGGTAATACT